CAGTCACTTATGCCCTAGTCACCTCATGGGTGGACTACTGCACTATACACTATATGAAGCTGTCCTTGAAGAAGTCTCAGAAGCTACAGCTGGTCCAGAATACAGGAGTGCAGGTAGTGATGGGTGGGCCACACTATGTCTATGTGATGTCACTGTATACGAGTTACATTGACTACTAGTTGACTTCCATGTGCAATTCAAGATTCTGGTTATCACCAATGAGCCCTTCATGGCATAGGGCCTAGCTATTTGTAGGATTGCTTGTGTGCAATTGTTTCTCCCTGTCTGCTGACATCAGACACAGTGAGTGCACCTCAGGTCCCTTTGATAAAAAAAAAAAAAAAGTCACCTATTGAGATCTAAGAAGTGTGCCTTCTATGCTGTAGCTCCTGCCTTCTGGAATAGCTTCCCCCCAGAGTTCCATACAGCTCCAATCTTGATGATGTTTGGAAAGTTATTGAAAATGTGACTGTTCTCCGTGAACTTTGGGAAGAATGGCAGTTGAGCCCTTATAGAATGTTTTATTGTTATAGAGAGTTTGCCTTCTGGATGTTTATGATCCATGTCTTTTTTTTTCGTTCTTTTCTTCTTTTTCTTCTTTTTTGTGTTAGCCACTCAGAGTCATTTGGAGTCTTGTCTCTAAATCGCATTAAATAAATGAATGATTTTCCCTTTTACTTCTCTGAAAGAGCGTAACTTGGCTATTCTCCTAGATTCATAACTATTGTCAGAAGAACAGATGGAGGCCATGGCCAAAGAATCAGCCCAGCTTTGACTGTTGTAGCAACCTTACCTGGAGCAGGAAGACCTGACAGTTCATGCCTTCATCACCACCAGGATAGACTTGAATAGTGCTATACATAGACATACCTTTGAAGAATACTTGAACACTGCAGTTGTTGAAGGAGGCAGCTGCCCACATGTGGCATTTATCCTACATATTTTATTTATTTATTTGGTCAATGTATATACAGTAGTTGTCTTCTCAACATATGACTCAGG